TGCTACTGCTACTATTGCTGCTACTAACGACGACGACGACGACGACGACGACGGCTGCTCCTGCTGCTGCTGCTGCTGCTGCTGCTATACTACTACTACTACTACTACTACTACTACTACTTCTACTTCTTCTACTGCATCTTGTTCTATTAGCACATGCTCTCAAACTTGAAGCCCTGAAGCCCCAAAGCTCGAAAACCCTCCTGCTCTAAGCCTAAAGCATCTCAAAGCCGGATCAGGCTCTTCCGCCCCACCAAAGGTCCGAGCTCCTAGGCGGCATCTGGATCAGTGTGTAGGCAAGAGCTCATGAGTTTTCGGGCCACAGGGTTTAAGGCTTCAGGCCTTATGGCTCGGACTGTCGGTTTTTTTGGCGTTCGGGTGTTTTCGGGATTGTTGGCTTGCGCTGGGCGTCCAGGCCAGTTTAGGCTGTTTTCGGCATAAAGGCTTAGGGGGTTAGGGTTTGTTAGGCTAGAGCTGTTTAGAGAGTTCAGAAGCTTCAAGTTTTCAGATTGGGGTTGCCCTGGGAAGTTATGTATTCTTTTTGGCCCATTGGCGCCTCCGTCATTTCGTCAGAAGAGCAGGAGCACCTACCAGCAGGTGAGACCTCCTGCATTCCATGATTCGGCAGCTCCGCACTACGCATTCGTAGAGGCAGTGCACTGTGACATCGTTTGAGCTGATCGAGCTGCCTACATATGAGAGGCTCTTGCAGTTTGGGGAAGTCCAGCTCTCATCAGCCCCCGGGCTGAACCATCTTGATTCAATCCAGAGGCCTCCCTTCCATAGCTTAAAGGCTGAGCCGAAAGGGCCCAAAATCCTGATCTCGAACCCCGAAGTACCGAGCCCTCGTTCGATGCTTCAGAAGACAAAAGGCAAGAGAAGTATCCAGCCCAAGATCACCCTCAATACCACCGACACTCCAGCCCTCAAGCCCTATCCCTAAACCCCCAACCAACCCCTTCGCAACAAATACCTATCCTCTAGACCCTAAGCCTTTTATTTCAGTTTTTTCCCTTAACCCCGAGAGCTAAACCATGGAAGCTGGTTGTTGGTTCCAGCTATCAGCCCGCCCGAGCCCCGAAGCCCAGGAACTCGATGGCTCCGGCTCCTTGGTAGCATTTTTTGTTTTGTCAGGTAAGCTTCGAAAGATCCGAGGTCACTATTGTGATTGTTTGGAGGAAACGGTGCGCTGTGTCTGTGTGGGGTCAATCTTGGGAGTTCGTGACAGCGGTGTTGGGTTCAAGATGCAGTGCTTCAGAGAACTGGAGTTGAAGATCTGACCCAGGGCCGTGGCTCCCGGTAATTATGCATCCCAAGGCACGATTTCTGTAGGTTCGGAAGGGCTTCAAGCCCAAGCCTGTGCGCCCAGTCGCCTTGAACCCTCCAGGCTCCATGCCCCTTGGGTTTAGGGTTTAGGGTTTAGGGTTTAGGGTTTAGGGTTTAGGGTTTAGGGTTTAGGGTTTAGGGTTTAGGGTTTAGGCCCACGCACAGACTGCAAAATGCTGTGTCTGCCCAGGAGCAGCGCATCGCAGATGCGTCGCCCAACGCAAGTGGCTTAGCGCTTGGGGACTGTGGTTTGGGTGTTCAGCATCGGTAGTAAGTTCCAGCATGGGTAGTAAATACACATTTTAGTCGGGATCCTTTCTGTTGTGTCAACATTTCTTTATTTGAATTTATTCAGAACCATGTCGGGCCGCACAGTTGTCTTCTGTTGCCCGAGCAGCTTTACAGGGCACATGTAGACCAAGTACAACTGTTTTGCAGATTTGTTGGGGCGTTGGTTGCCAAGTAACCAAGCAGTCTCGGGCTTTCTACTTAGGGCCAGGCCGTGTGTACATGACAATGACTTGCCTTTCTGGGTTGAGGGTTTCAAGGAGAGGTCGGCTGATCGGATGTTTTGCCGTTTCAGGATTTTCTACGGAAGGAACATGTGTGTTTAGGATTTGGGGTTGAGGGGTACATTTAAAACGAAAATCTCCGTTGCTGTCAGGAATCTTGGCAGAAACTCGAATTTGCCCTATCAAGCTTCAGCTCAGCACCTCCAGTCGAGTGAAGGCACTTGCTGCAGCTTTTCGGAGTTCCAAACGGGAATTTGAGACGACAAGCGACGCTACATAATAATAGTAATGGTCAGACTAGAACTACGAGTAGTAATGATAATGGTGATAGCAATAGAAATTCTAGCAATGATAACGGTAATAGTAATAGTCATAGTAATCGTAGTAGTAGTGATAATAATGATCGTACTCATAAGTTCGATCCTTGTTTCCAGGGCCCTTATTTGATCTGCGAATGCCCCACATCGCAATCGACAGGGCCTAGCCTGAAGGGCTCTCACCCATGGTAGCAGTTGAGGTACTGGGACAAAAGCGTCAACAAGAAGCCACACCCACGGTTCATACGCGGTCTACATACGTAGTCCCAGTCGCCCTCCACCGAACTTTTCATGATCCTGATCTCCGACTCTCCATCAAAACTCTACGCAAAACCCATCGGTCTCATACACTTTGTAGACCTGCCGAGAGAGCTCTTGAGGTTCTGCTGGTTGTACTTTGGATTTGGTGTTTTTCGTTGTAATTGTTACTCCCTGAACCCTTCCGTCAAGAACGGAGAAGCGAGCAATCCTTGCCGAGACGATCGCCACGCAAGCTCGGCCACACACCGTGCGGGCCCTTGCTGTCTGTGTCAGTCAGTACCGCAGAGCAGACTCACTTGCGGCTGAGGGCTGCCAAGTTTGAGTCTGAATACTCGTCGCCGCAAATATCAGTGTTAGGGAACGCAGTCAGCGGCAGTGGCAATAGCAGTCACACCTAGCTATCACAGCAACGTTCCGAACAGGTGCAGACTACCAGCAGCAGTAAGGTGATTCGTAGTAGTATGGCTGATACTCTTGCATCGAATGGATGACATCACATGTAAAACAGCAGGGAAGAGCAGCAATAACGTGCGTGTAGAGCGGGACGCATGCAGACAGAAATGCTACTGCCTCATGTCGTCACTGTGTCTGTCTATTTGTCTATCTGCCAGACTGTCTGCACCCGCATATTAACTACAGACGCGCATCTATTTAGTCATTTGTTTGCTTGCGTACGACACATAAGCAGATGTATAGCTGCGACTCTCACATACAATTACACAGCTCCTCCATCGACGGTTAGTTGTATAGACAGGGGTACCACTGTGTCTGATGGCGGCTTTCATACGACCAGAACGCATGCATCATGCATCATGATTCCAGGTTTCATGGGAGCTAAAAAAGGGGCCTTAATAATCAGAATAGGGTTTTAGGGTCCATTCTACTATAGTTATAATAAGGATACCCCCAAAACAGTACCCATAGGCCCCATAGTAGTTCCTTTTTGGGATTACCTTATAGGATTCTATATATGAACCCCCAAAAAGGACTACTTTAGGGCCTATGGGTATAGGTAAGGGCCCCTACATTATCCAACCCTAAACCCTAAACCCTAAACCCTAAACCCTAAACCCTAAACCAAAACCCTAAACCCTAAACCCCTACATTATCCCCTGCGTCCTCGCTTCTGCAAGGCCTGGAGAGCAGCTCCCTCGCCCCAGAGTGGCTCCGAGCCATCTCCGCTGTCGGATGTTCGGGACAGCAGGGCCGTTTAGGGGTTAAGGTTTAGGGTTTCTGGTTTAGGGGTTTATTATAGGGGTTTAGGGGTTTAGGGTTTAGGGTTTTGCATGTAAAGTAGGGGCCTTAAGAATTACCCATACTATTTTGGGGGTTGTAGGGGCCTTAATAATTACCCATACTATTTTGGGGGTTGTAGGGGCCTTAACAATTACCCTTACTATTTTGGGGGTTGCTGACTATATTTATAGTCATATATACCCCAAAGCCCTATTCTAATTATTAAGGCCCCTATATTCGGGTTGCAGGTCAGGGTAAGGGCAGCCGTATGAAGGCTTAGACTTTTGGGTTGTTGGCCAAGGTGCCCGAGTGCAGGGAATCACTTGCGAACATCGCAGGGGTAGCTGCTGCAGGCTAAAATGACCGTTCACCAGTCCAAATCGTAGCAAATCCCAAGGTCCCCAGGACCCGTCCGCCCAACGCTGAAGTGCAGACCCTCAGTACCCGCAGCCCTAGCACGTACAAGTCTCAGTAGCCTTCAAGGTCCCAAGAAGCCGCGAACCCCACGGCATCCGCTGTCCCGAAAGTCAGTGAAAGCGCTGGTTGCTTCAAAGCAGACAAAGTGACAAAAATCCTCGACCATTTATCCTTAAGCTGGCTGCATGTGTAAGAGCTCAACATTGAAGGACCCACGGGCGCCCCCCGTCACGTCGCAGCTCAGCAAGTCCAGCCAAGAGACGGCCAACGGTGGCGAGGTCGAGTTTTGAGATTCGAAGCTGCATGCGCGCTTTTTTGACCTTGCCTGCCTGTCGGTCTGGGCTTGAAGTCTAGGCTAGCACTTTGTAAGGTTCAGAGTTTTGGGACTGATGTTGACGAGGAAGCCGATTCCACGCGCCGCGTCGAAGACGAGGCAAATAGGGCAGAGAGCTCGTGCACTTTCAGGAATCTCTCGTGGGTGATGAGAGCTTCGATGCTGATTGAACGCTTCCGGAGCGGTCGGCATACTTGTGCACCCCTGAAGCATTTCGGCTGAAGTATCGTGTTTTTTCAAACCAGCTTTCTGCCACACATTTCGGCGAAAGATGGGAAATTCTGCCAGCCAAACCAAAGGCCTGATCAAGCCTGATGTGATAATGAAGGCCAAGCACTGGGCCTTCAACGGCCCCTATGCGCCAGTACACGAGGAAGTCTTTGCGGAGCTCAAGTTGCCCGCGGGGGTTACCCTTCCTAAAGACCTGGAGGGTGCCTATGTCCGGAACGGGCCGAACCCATGGTGGAATCTACCGCAGGAGGATCAGAACCATCATTGGTTCCTCGGAACTGGGATGGTCCACACCGTCAGGCTGAAGGATGGCAAGGCATGGTACAACAATCACATCCTTCGGACGAAGAATTTCAATGCCGAGCAAAGGACGGGAGGTCCTCACTGGGACAAGATCGCCAACTCAACCTCCATGAAAGAATTCCTGGTTTCTATGGTGTTGGAGAAGATCTGGCTTCAACGTGGCACGGTCAGCGGCCCCAGCAACACCAACTTGGTATATCACAGCTCGAAGCTCATGGCCTTGTCTGAAGGCGACATGCCCATGGAGCTCCGGGTACTACAAGATGGGAAGATGGAGTCGGACGAGAAGTACCTTTACAAAGACATGTGGAATGCCCATCCCAAGATCGACCCTGTGTCGGGAAAGCTCTACTGGCTCGACTACGACGTCTCGGGCCTGAGTCCCAAATTCTCCTATGGCGTGATCTCCCCCGATGGCACGCAGGAGCGCTCCTGCACTGGCACGATGGGCGGGGGCAAGTCGGTCATGATCCACGACCTGGGAATAACGGAGCAGTACGCGCTTGTGATTGATGCCCCGGTCCTTGTGAACGTCGAGAATTTCACCTCGGAAAAGATTCTCTGGAAGTACGAGCCGTCGCACGGCACTCGCATCGGCATTTTCCCAAAGGATGGCGAGAGCGGGGAGGTCACACCCACATGGTTCGAGATCGAAACGTGCTGGATCTTCCACGTTGCCAACTCCTGGGAAGAAGGCGACACGGTCGTACTAGTAGTTGTCCGCTGGGACGGTATCGACATGTCTGGGCACCCAGTGAAGGAGGATCTTCTGAAACCGGGCTTTGACAAGAAAATGTACGAGTACCGCTTCGACATGAAGAACAAGACCGTCGCCGAGAAATGCCTTTTCTCCGGCTTCACAACCCTGGAATTCCCTGTCGTCAACCTCAAAGGAATGGGTCGGAAGTGCCGATACACATGGGCCGCTGGCAGCTACGAAGGGGAGCCCAACTTTCATCGCATTTTCAAGTTCGACCTGGAGAAGGGGACCAGCTCCAGCTACGCCTGCTGCGACCAGAGCGGCAAGAAGCTCACCGCGGGAGAGGCGTTCTTCACAGGCACTGGCGAATCCGAAGACCAAGGATACCTTGTGACCTACCTGGTAGATCCGGATGGCAACGGTCCTTCTAGCTTCCTCGTGGTGGACAGTGCCAACTTGGAACCCGTGTGTCAGCTCGCATTGCCAGCGCGAGTCCCATTGGGGTTCCACGGTATTTGGCTTTCCGACCAGCAGGTGCAGGCACAAATCAAGTAAAGGTAGCTGTCCGCTTTCAAGCTCAGGAAGGACTGCAGATGGTCACGCTCCCAAAAGAGCCAGGAGTCTGCAGTTCGTCGTGGGTATGGAGGTGTGAGTCTCTTCACCGTCCCGGAAACCCTAAGCCCTACGCCCTGAGGCCACCCACGAACTAGCGGTGAACCCGAAACCCTCAAACCTCGACCAATCTGGGAAGTGCGCCGGGCAATGGCAAAAGCCATAGCCCTCTGGTGGACACGAGCCCGAGTTCACAGTTCAGAGTTTGGGCCTGGAACCCAGAGACTCCAATATCCCTTAATTAGGGAATATTCCTTATAATTATAGCGGGATCCTTCATATGATTCAAGGTATATTCCTTTATTAAGGGATATTGGAGTCTCTGGGAGCTGCTGTTTGCTTGGAAGGGTGGCTTGAGCCCCGGCCCCTTTTTGCCATTGCTTATCGCGGTCTTGTCCACAGGGAGGAGCTCCACTTGGCAGCCGGTTGGGGGGGTCCTGTTGGTAGGTCAAAGTCACTGAGGTTTCTGAAGAGTTCGCCGTAGAACTGTCATATCATCCCCGCATAGCCCCTACGTAAGTATGGTAGAGTATAAGACACCCGCAAAGTAAGACACACCCTGAAACCTTCTTGGAATAATTAAGGCTCCTGCATCATGAGGAATCGAGGACCTCCTCCCTGGAACGCCGACAAACAGGCGGTCAGGCTGCATGACAAGACAGACCACTCACAGACTGAGAGCGAAAAGAAGGTCGGTGATGTTCGGCTTGATTTGCCTGAGGATCACAAGCGTTAGGATTGTAGGTTTGGGGGTGACTTCAGCTCTTACTTCCACTCTGGGATTCTTCGGCTGGGGGGGGTTTAATTGAGAGAAAGTATGACTCTGATGGCTCAAACTTGGTACACTGATATACATCATATTGCAGAAGCCCTTAATTAGACCATAATACTATATTCTGCTTTTCATATTCTTCAAATATGTTAGATTCACCCTAAACCCAAAACCCTAAACCCCATAATTGTGAGGGCGTCTTGGAGCTTGCCCAGGCGTCGGGCCGTATCCCAAGCGCCAAACACCCTGAACTCCAAATCCGCAAGTGCCAAGCCAGAACCCACCAACCCTAAACCACCCTCTTTGGGGTTTAGGGGTTTAGGGGTTTAGGATTTAGGGGGTTTAGGGTTTCTTGGGCCACCCAAACCTCCAAACCCTCCTCTAAACCCGGAGCCCTACACCCCCTAAGCCCTAAACCCTGTACCCTACCCCTCCGAAACCCTAAACCCTGGACGTGAAACCCTAAACTCTAAACCCTGAACCTTAAATCTTAAACCCTAAACCCTGAACCCTAAAACCCTAAGCCCTGAAACTGAAACCCTTAACCCTGAAGATTAAGCCCTAAACCCTAAACCCTAAACCCTAAACCCTTAAGGTTTCCAGTCTCAAACTTGGAGCCTCCAGGGCCCTCGCGTGGACGCGGGACCGAACGGGCCGACCAACTTCTCGCGGCCCCGGCGGGATTGGAAGCATCTCACGCGGTTTAGGGTTTAGGGTTTAGGGTTTAGGAAGCATCTCATGCGGTTTCTGATTCAAGTGTAATATGGTATAGTGTAGTATAGTATATTAGAGTACAGTGTCGTATAGTATAGTATAGGGTAGTATAGTGTAGTATAGGGTAGTATAGTATCGGGTTTCAGTGTTTTTGGGTGGGTTTTAGGCTTCGGAGTTGCTTGGTTGGAGGGTCATTCGGGCTTTCGGACACGGGGATTTGAAGGTTCTGGGGTTCACTAAACCCTAAACTCTAAACCCTAAACCTGCGAAGCTTCTTCCGAGCGGAGGCTTTGTACTTGGAGGTCGGGACGAAAGTGACGAAAGCCCAGACCCTAAACGTTTAGCCCCACTCCAGAGACCATAAACCCTAAACTGTAAAACCTAGTCCGCAAACATGAAGCAGAAAAGCTTGAGGGTCTTCATAAGTACAAGGTGGGTCAGGCTGTCGGGGAGTATTTAGTGTTCCAGAAGTTTCATTCTGATCACTGGTTCTGGGTTCATTTTTTCTCCGTGGGCCGGGGTGCACAAGGTGTGGTTCGGTGCGGACGAGGGCCGGTCATCCAGTTTTCTTGAGGTTCCGGGTGGGCTTCAAGCTTCAAGTGATAGTTTAGTCTTCAAAGGTTTCATAATGATGAAATATTGTCTGGCAGCGCAGCTCAATCACTCTTCCGATTCCAGGTATCCCAGAACGTGCTGTCAAATCGCTGTGGCTATTGAACATACCCCACCCGAACCCTATCCCGATGAGCGCACCAGCTGCGAAACCCCGACCGCCCCCACCCGAAAAGCCAGATCCTGCAAGTCCGAATCCCGAAAAGCCTCAAAGCATCAGGGCTTGAAGCCGCAACCCCTGAACCCCAAACCCGCCCCCCAGGTTGACAGCACCTCTAGCCCTTTCCCGGCTGGACTCGCCCTCTCTCCCAGGCAGACGATCCTCACCTGGTTTGTGGAGGACCGGGCCATGGGTTGAGCACGCATCTTCAAAGCAGGAAAAGGGCTTTAGGGTTACTACTACTACTACTACTACTACTACTACTACCACTACCACTACCACTACCACTACTACTACCACCTCCTACTACTACTACTACTACTACCACCTACTACTACTACTACTACTACTACTACCACCACCTACTACTACTACCACCACCTACTACTACTACTACTACTACTACTACTACTACTACCACCTACTACTACTACCACCTACTACTACTACTACTACTACTACTACTACTACTACTACTAGTTACTACTGCGACCACGACGACTACTACCAATTCCACTAGCACTGCCACTGCTGCTGCTACTGCTGCTGCTACTGCTACTGCTACTGCTACTGCTACTGCTACTGCTACGACTACTACCATTAATACCAATAGTAATATTGCTGCTAATGCTCCTGCTGCTGCTGCGGCGGCGGCGGCGGCGGCGGCGGCGACGACACACTACTACCACCACCGCCACCACCCCCACAACCACCACAACCACATCCGAACCACAAGTGCAACTTCGAGGACCCTCGGGACGGCTCCTACCAGATGTTCTCCAAGGCCTCCTGGCTTTGCTGGATGAAGTGACCCTCTTAACTCCAAAGACCGTAGATGCTCCACCCCTGAACCCCACGCGACCTCCCAAGCCCAGGCCATCTATACACCGTGAATGAACCCTAGCTCGAGGTATTTTTAGAGAGGCCTCAGAGCTTCATAGTTGTTAAGGGCGCTTTGGCGGTCATGGGGCTCCAGGTTGGGAGGTTCGTCGCGGTGCTTCTAAAGGCCGAGGAACCATTGTATTTATAGAATAATGGACCCAAAAACCCTATTCTAATTTTAAGGCCCCTATATTACTTCGGGGCCTGCACCTGTGGATCTGCTGACCTCCAAGTCTCAGACCTTGGCTCTCGAGACATAAACACGAACACAAAACTGCCTGAACCCGAAGTTGCCAGGGGAAGCCGAAGAGGCTGCTACCCAGATGCACGCACTACTTCGATGGCCATGAGGCGCAAGCAGCCTGAAGCTTTCATGTTGGGCCTTGCTCGAAGATTCCGTACCGGCCAGCTGGTGATGATGTTCATGATGATGGTGATGGCGATGATGCTGACGGCGGTGGCTCTGATGGTGTTGATGTGCAATGCGTGGCATCCGCTTTCACGCACTGGGCTTAACTAGTTAGGGCAGACTCTCCATGCAAGTTGTACCGCAAACGATCTTCAGAACTTGATCATGTTCTGTCTTACCACGCGATTCAAACTCTGTGCTCTGGAACCTGAATCGCCCAATCCCTGAAAACTAAGCCCAAGACCACAACGCAGGTTCTTCCGTTGACGGAGGAAGACAAGCAGTGCCTCACCAGGCCTGGTGGGCTCAGCTGAGGGCACAAGAGGCACTTCGCGTGATTTTTCGAGCCTGGCTCAGGAAAGCGAAGTAATGTAGGGGCCTTATCAATCAGAAAGGGGTTTTGGGGTATATAATACTAGAACTATAAGAAGGACGCTCCGAAATGGTAATTATCAAGGCCCCTATGCTATGCCCTACCTTGCAGACAAATCGGCAGGATGAACAAGAGAGAGGGTTTAGGGTATAGGGATTAGGGTTTAGTGTTTAGGGTTGAAAGGGTTGAGGTCAAGGCGTCGTTGGACAAGCTGAAGAGGGAACAGCACGACTGCTGGACGGCAGTTTAGTGGTGGATTTTTGACCATGAGGTTGCTGTCGCTATCTTTGCTGTTGCTGTTGCTCTTCTTGCTGCTCCTGCCGTTCTCGCTATTGTGGTCGTTGTTGCTTTCTGCAAAAAAAGGATCTAAGCCATGCGGGAGATGCCCAACTTGCCCAACTATGGCGTACCGAACGATTTGTATTATGCTGTACGTAGTACCATCATGATAATGGGCTGCCGGGTTGTCCGTCCACGCCTCCTTGACCTGAGATAGGGGAAGCTTCAATATTGCCACATTATTCCAGTTCTTCGATTGTTCATGGCGTAGAAATGAGCACTTGACAGCAAGATCTGGCCGTGCAGTTGAACGATTGGGCATGTTTTGCCAGTAAGTGCAGTACGTTGTCTCAACAAATCATTCGGTACGCCATAGTTGGGCAAGTTGGGCATCCCCCGCATGGCTTAGATCCTTTTTTTGCAGAAAGCAACAACGACCACAACAGCGAGAACGGTAGGAACAGCAAGAAGAGCAACAGCAGCAGCAAAGATAGCGACAGCAACAGCAACAGGACCAGTAGTCATAACTAACAACAGTGCCTTTTCGTTTGCGTCGTTGCAGTATACTCGAGTGCAGGGGACGCCGGATCATCATATCTTGACTGCAGACAAGCACAAGTTTACAGTCAAAGCCTAAGAAACGACCGTAGATATGGGGCCCCAGGGCGTCCCACCCTCTTTTTTGGGGGTGTTGCCATCCGGTGTTTAGGAATCCTCGTTTGAACATGAACAACCATTCAGTCTGCGTGCTGCCACTGTCTGCGAGGCTGGTTCTCCAGTGGAAGGCCAGAGGGTGTAAAATTGGGATTGTGTCAAACAAACTACAAAGTACAAGTACCTTAACCTCGTGTACCTTCGCTTCAATGATTCTTCCCAGTAATACTCCTAAGACCTAGGACTGCGACGGTGACAACTGCTGTTTGAGCACAATGCCGACCACTGCTACTTCTGCTGCGACTCCTACTACTACTACTACTACTACTACTACTACTACTACTAGTGCGACCACTACTGCTACTGCGACCACTACTACTACTGCTGCTGCTACTACTACTACTACTACTACTACTACTGCGGCCACTACTGCTACTGCTACTGCTACTGCTACTGCTACTGCTACTGCTACTGCTACTGCTACTGCTACTGCTACTGCTACTGCTACTGCTACTACCGCTTCCATCACTTCTGACTGTTGAGTTGGTAGATCAAGTACCGTTTGTGCCGTTGATCTGGTTTGCCAATACCCGTGACCCCATGCCATGAACCGTCATTCCAAATATCCACTCATTGGGCTTGGTTCTTGCTGCTGCTGAGCACCGTGCAGGTCTCTGTTGTGTTTTGTGTTATGTCTGCTACCATGTGCGTGGCGAAGTTCGTGATTGCTGATTTAAGTGCCACCAGAGACCCTTCAATTCTAATCTGCAGATGTTCCTGTCGAGAGGGTGCTGACTTCGCGCTGCCTGCATGGCATGACCACAGTGCACGTCGAGCACAGACTGGGGAAGTCTGCCGCGTATCAACTGCAATTCCCAACGCAGCGGTACTACACAAGTTCGCAAAGCAGCGAATCAGAATGTTGTTTTGCATCTAGTCCCATTGGAGTTTGGGTTCATGGTCGATTTCCACTTGGGGTTGTCTGAGGTCAGGGGTGCAAACAGGTAGTTAGTGGGGCTCAGCGGTGCGAACAGCCACCGGAAACCAGAAGGCCACTACTGCAGCTTCTTTTTCAATCGCCCATACCCCCATGCACGAAAAGGAGTAACAAATTAAATAAATTCGGCCGCATCAACGCCATAAGAGTCTAAAAGCCCCAGAAGTTTCAGAATTATCCTGAAGACTTGGGAAAGCAGCCTCAGGCATCCGGTCTGGTTGCCGTTGCCTACTCTTACCGGCCCCTCTCCTCGCAGGCCGGTGCTTTAAGGGTTTAGGGTTTAGGGTTTCAAGGAGTAGATGAGTAGATCGTGTGTTGATGATGGCATGTTTTTGTTATAGACGAAGTGTGAGATCACTGTCTTATGGGTCTTCTTCTCGTCAGTGTCAGTGGTAGTGTAGCCGGCAGCTATTGCTACTGCTACTGCTACTACTACTACTACGACGACGACGACCACCACCACTACAATTACGGCCATTGCTCCTGCTACTGTACTGCTGCTACGACGGCTAGGACGACGACAACGACAATTTGAGCGACTGTGATCCCCATTATTACTACTTTTGCTCCACCGGCATGTTGCCCTCCATCTTTTCTCTTATATCAGCTACTGTGGCGATCTTGCGGCTAGGCTATGGGAAGTTCGAAGTAATTGAAGACCTCGGGACGGGAACGTTTTGCACTCTGATGACTCCGTGAGCCTGTGAGCAGGCAGAAACCGACATCCCCATGCAGCTGGAGAAGAACACCTTCTTCTGCCCCTCAGCTCATGCTTCAGTAGACGCACCTGCGTGCTCGATCGTACCAAGCCGCCACCTCAACCTTGACCCCAACACCTCGGCGGGATTCTGAAGGAGAGAGAAGGCCTTCCACGCCAGACTCAGCAGAGCTGATTTAGTCCCCAAAAGACGTGTAGCATTGGAAACACGGGAAATAGCAACTGCAACTGTATCAATGACAACGAGCGAGAGACGACGACTGACGACGGCGAGATTGCAATGAAGCACGCTAGCATCGGCAGGTAGTCGACAGGGTAGCTCCACGAAGGCGACGAAGGAATAACCATGCAGTCACTCACACGTCAGCATGGACGCGGCAACAGCAGCACAGAGCACCCGGCGGTGCAACTGGCGAAGAAATCCAACCAAAACCCCACAGAGGCGGGGCAGGGAAGAGGCGGGAAGGGAGACTCCAGCAATGCACGCTCGCGGCACACACAGGCAGGGTTCTCACTCATAGACCTCTCCCCGGCGTCCAACTAACACTTTCCTAGGTGAATGCACCAAGAAGGATAGTCATGGGTGGACATCATCCTTCGTGCTTGCCCTCCGCAAGTTCGCAGACGTAGGTACCTCAAAGGAACCCTCAGATGGGACTGAGGGATCCTTTGATTTAAATCCCCTACGGAGATGTCTGAAAATCCATACATCTTTGCTTGCAGGCGAACGGAAAGCACGGGCTTCAAGCACAGAACACGATTCAGAACCATGATTTGTTTCATGATGTCAGGCTTAAGGGTCTTTGGCGTTCTGAGTGTGTGGTTTAGTTTAAATATTCCCATTGACATTGACGTCCAAGTGTGAAGCGTCATCGGGATTGGGATCGTCGGAGGCGAGCAAGAACGCTTCGCAACTAACGAAAACTAGTGCGTTTCTGTGTAGATCGGGGCGGTAGGGGCTACCCTTCTTGTGCCTATTGAAGATACCGTAACTTTAATCCAGAGCCAGGTGCGACGGAGGACGACGAGGGAGACTTTCGCTTCGTCCAGGCAGGGTCTTCGTGGTGGGTTTAGGGTTTAGGACTGAGGGCTTAAGATATGGGGATTTCCGAAAATAGGGGTACCTTATGTTGGGGTCCTTATAATAAGGATCCTACTATTTAGGCTACTATATTAGGGTCCCCTATTTTCGGAAACACCCAGAAAGGTCCCGGCTTGTAAGGGTTCTGGCGTTTAGGGTCTTGAGGTTTGCTTGTTCCTAGGTCTTGAAGTTTGGTTCTATGTGCCATCAACCTGAAGCACCCTTAAACCCCTAGCCCTAGCCCCCCAAATCCCTTAAACGTGGCAGGCCTAAAAGGCACACACACACACACACACAACTATAAGCCCTAGCTAGCACCCAGAACTCTATACCCTCCAAGAATCCCTGGTGCCCCAAGCACTGAAGTCGCTGCTGTTCCAGAGGCCGGGCGCTCCGGCGAGACGAGCGAGAGGCTAAGGGCTGACAGCATAGGGCAGAAGAGCACGACCTGTTTGATTAGGGTTTAGGGTTTAGGGTTTAGGGGCAGGTAATGTAGGACCTTGGTAAGTCATTCCCTATGTCTCATTCGGGCCCTTGAAATTTCATGGCTCCCCTGGTGTTGGTGATTCCGGGCCAGGCCATTCTCAGTCCTACAGTACCTCCTTTCCGCAGGATTGCATGATGATGTGGGGGTTTCCGAAAATAGGGGACCCTACTATAGTACCCTAAATAATAGGATCCCTATTATAAGGACCCTAAAATAAGGTACCCTAATTTTCGGAAACCCCTATGTGGGTTCCCATGACTACAGAAACAGCGTTGGATAGGAAACTCCTTTAGCGCGGGGACCCTGGATTCTTATTTGCACCGCGCTTGTTTTCGGGGTCATAATGTGACACCTTCCAAGTCCAGGGTACCCTGGATGTCTTCTCTTGCGCTTAAGCTGAATCTCTGAATTTTCCTTGTATCCACGGCATGAACTTCTCACTTTCCTTGTTGGCGGTTCGGCCGAGAACCGGGAAAATGAGAAGTTTGGGAGTTGAACGTCTCATTTTCCTGGTGGGTGGCCGGGCAAGGGTCTCTCGGCGTACAGTAGGAGGTTTATGGTCTGTTTCTGGTTGGGGTAGCATCTACGAAACTCAACAGGAAATAGGGGGCGGGCGGCGGGGACCCTGAATTTCTTGCTCTCCCGTATGGGTGGTTCTAGCAGATTCCGCCACAGTTGCGCCCAGATTGAGCCCCCCCGGCTTCTTCTTCAATGGTTTTCTTGAAGAGTCTTGGAGCTGTAGCTTAAGTTCGAGGTTTCTCACCAAATCATGTAGATTGCGATTCCCCTCGTTTGCAATCTTGTGCCTGAGAGCTTCGTCGTCTAGTACATGGCCGGTCGAATTCACAGAGCACAGGGGTGGATGGGGATCATGCACGTTGCCTGGGGGGGCTCCGGACTGCAAAGAGATGAGAAGATGAAGCTCATGATACCGATGGCCAGGGTGACAATGGAGAGTTCTATCATCGTTATCCGAATCCGTCATGATCAGCGTTCGCATCAGCATTCCATTACGTAAACCCTCAATGCCCCACAGCCGTTCAGCAGTGAGCCCTAAAGCCTTGCCAAGTTCGAGAGAAATCGCCAGCAGTCGGGGCGGGCGTTCCTGGCGCTAGGCCGGAGTCCTATGATGGTTCTACAAAAGTGTAGGGTCCATTTCGGGTTTGGGTGGGCGAGGGTTTGGGGTTTCGGTTTTGGTCGCTTCAAGGGTTGCGGGAGCTTAGGGTTGAGGGGTTATCGGGGTGTCCGGCTTTGGGTTCATGCCTTCCGGGAATTCAGCTTCAATTGGGCTTAAGCTGATGTAGTGTCTAGGAGGTTTAGGGCTGTAAATAGCCCGTTTCAAGGGGCTTCAGCTGCAAGCAGGCAGGCAGCCACGAAAGCAAACGAAGATGTCACTTGTCCGTGCCTGTGCATGTGCGTGGACGCGCGAAAGCACGCAACGCAGCCGTACCATGCCAGTAGCACTTGGCAGCTAGTAGTGTATACAAGACTAAGGTGTCGGTAGTGGAGTTGATCTATCCTGGTAGCTGGAGACTGTGGTGTCGAGCATTCGTTCACTAGGGCCGTAGTCCATGGATGGTCAGATTCCCGTATTTACCGACAGTAAACACTTCCTAAACCAAGCGTCTTCTCCAATCCATACTACCATGGCTCAGAACATCAGGGATATCAGGCTGTGTTCAAATTTCAAACATGCCGACGACAGAAGGGATGCCGACCCATCGCCAGACTCTTGCGCTTGAGGGTTGGAGTCCTTTGAGGTCGCCGGACCCGGCCCCCGTGCCCTTTTCAGAACTCATCAGACCTGTTGAACTTGAAGGGCTGTCGGGAGGATGACATCATGGCTTTCATTCCTAAACTCTGAGTCCCAGCGCCATAAAACCTTGTGACTCTTGAGGCTTAGGTGCTCGAGCTCCAACAGCCAGAGCCGCCCTTACCCCCTTAAGAGTCCGGAAGCGTCTAGCTGTAGGGTGCACTCACAGAGTCTGGAAAGTTCATGATCAAGGTGCTATGATGAGTGCGTTTAGCCTTCATGGGATTCTTCATCGGTTTCGCTCCTGGAATTCTCAACCCGAACCCTAAACCCTCAACCCTAAACTTCAAGCCTGCAATCCTCCCCATGCAACCTTCAGAACTTCGAAGCAGCGAGGATGGCGCAAGCTTGGCAGGAGCTCCAAAGCGAGCAGGCGAAGTTAAGGGATCTTGCTGTAGAGGGCTTTATAATGTAGGGGCCTTATAATAATAATAACCTATACTATTTTGGGGGTCCTGAGTATCAGTATAGTATAACATGCCCCGAAATGCGATTCTAATTACGTTAGGGCTCTTATGTTTCAGGTTTTAGGGAAAGTGAACTAGGGGCTGCATATTATGATTTTAAGGTTTACAGACTGGATTTTTGTTCAGGAAACTAAGGGGCTTTATCGGAGTTTAGAATGTCTCCATGAGTTTTTTTTGGTTTGGTGGGGGTATTCGGGTTTCGAAGTACATGACATATGTGTCGATCCGGATGGATGCAGTACTTGGGGAAGAGGTCGGTATGCTGAGTTACTGTGCTCACATCACCCTCATCCCCAAAACCGGCCAGGACCCTACCCAAAAACCTGAACACCCTACGGCGTAGACGGTAAGATACAGAAGACGCCTTTTCGCAGACTGAAGAGGTGCTGCTGGGCATGGTTGGCGCAAAGCTCTGTGCATCGGCAGCCCTGACCTGTCTCTGTGTTCCTACTCCTGCGTTCCTTTAAACCCGAAACCGGTTCCCCTAAACCCCAAACCCCTAAACCCTGTTCCTTTAAACCCGAAACCGGTTCCCCTAAACCCTAAACCCCTGAACCCCTAAACCCTAAACCCTGAACCCTAAACCCGAAACCGGTTCAGGGTTCAGGGAACCCTGAATCCCGCACCCCAGACCCGAAACTCAGACCCCTCTTTGTTGTGAGTCCTCTGCCGCCCTTTCCGGTCGGGCAAGTTACCGTTCAAGGCTTCTGCGGCGGTTGAAGCATGTGACGGCCTTAAGGTTCCCCTAAGGCGGTTAGGGTTTAGGGTTTAGGGCCTAAAGGTTGTCCTTTATGGATATTGAGGCTCAAGGTTGTCAAAGGCTTTTTTATTAAGGGTTTACAGGGTGCTTGGTTTGCACTCTTCCATACGGCTCCCGGAATAGCGGGGAGGGGAATCCCAGAGGCATGGCAGAGTAGACACCGCTGACATCACGCGTGGCCTGAACCGTAAATGAGCTCGCTCTTCTCTTGGGAACCACCATACTCCAAACTCCCGAAACCTCAGCCGCCAATCTTGTAACCACCTTGTTTCTCCTATGACAGGTGCAGATGCCGTCCTACGCGGAAGCGCTGCAGACGGCAGGAATACGCTTCCAGGCACCGGGGGAAACCGGCTGGAATCTAGGGCTTCACAGGGTCTTTTCATGCCAGTCTCATGAGGCTTTGGGTTCACATAGTTTTCGCAAGGCTTGGTCAAGGCTAGAAATTACGGGGCTCCGGCCAAGCATAGGCCCCGATTCTAAGAAGGCATTTTCTGTTTCAGACATAACGAGCTTCGTAGTATGGTAGGTCTCACTACGGCGCCCATAATTGAGTCTTCAAGTTTCCGGGATGCAGAGTCGAGGCTTTTCCGTTCAGGGTAGATGGTGATGGTGTCTGGAGCCTGGGAGTTGCAGCTTCAAGATTCTCACGCGGAGATTGCCGGATCTAGGTTAGGATTGTGCCTCGATGTTCATGGTTCATGGCTTGAGATGGGGGGCACGTCATGCAAGTTGCCAAGCTTGGTTCGTATCTGTGGTTTTTCGACGTGATGAATCGGCGATTGGGCGCTTAAACCAAGCGTCTCTCAAACCTCTTGCAAGAAGGTTCGGTTTTGTCTTAACACCTTTTAGATCCTCCGAACATAAGGCTGAACACCATACTTCCTGTCCTCGTCGCACAAAGAACGTTCGAGGTCTACTCGGTAGAGGGCGAGAAGCGCACGCGCACTCTGGGTTCACAGCTGGGTTGGGCACCGAGCTGCAACTGAGGTGCGGGGAGCTTCCGTGGGATTTGTAAGGGCATTGAATGAGGACAAGGATTCGAAAATAAAAGGGGATCTATAAGTAAGGGTTTCAGGGCTGGTAGAATGCTCAAGACACTTTGCAACACGCCGGGTGAAGTGGCCTGCGCCTTAGATTTTGCCCCGAAGCCCCAAAAGGCCGAGTACAAGGCCTCCGAAGGCCTCTGCAGTTCTCTGCGTTTAGGTGTTATAACCCTAAACCCCAAACCCTA